GGAGACATTCAAACTCTCGTTTGAGAGCTTGCCTCATGGCTTCAAGGCTACTGTCGATGGTAGCCATCGAGGCACCGTAGTCAGTCACCCATATCTTGACTTGTACTTCGGCAGGCGGATCCTCCCAACGTCCAACAGGATACACAGCAATACCTGCTTCGTCAAGAGACGCCGACATATCAGTGAATGGCTCTCCGTAGTTGAGAAAGACGGATATCTTGTCAGCTGGGATATTGAAAACTTCGTGGTAATACCTCAGATCTCTCGCAGCTGTTTTCGCAACACGGGAAGCTCTCTTGTAGTACCCGTAGTCCAGCCCGCTTCCATAGCCATACACCCGACTGGAGTCTGGGTCGCGAAAGCAGAGTCCCTTGACATATGGGAACAGTGCCTGTCTCGCATCGCCTAAGCCAAGACATACACCAGCAACGTCGAACCTGTGCTCAACGCGTCTTAAGTCCTTCCATAATGTACATCCAGGATGCCATATCACTTTCCAAAGTTCTACTTCTGACAATAGGACTTTGAGATATTCGACACAGTATTGCTTGTCAAGTGTGACCCAAGGTGATGTGACGGGATGTGACTCGATATTGTGGTACTCAAGCCAAAGCGAAGGTTTCCGGTTGTCCTTGTCAAATACATTCTGGATCATGTAGCTGAAAATCATGTCGCGAATCTCTCGGGGCAATTTGCCGAAGATTTCGAATTTGGGTGGTGGCTTCTTTGGTCGAGGTTTGGGGGCCCATATCTGATGTAGTCTCGGGTGTGCTGGTATCGTATGGCCACCGTGCTATTGTTTTGTAGCGCCATGTTTGTAAAGATTGCCGAATGAAGTTGTCCTGCTGGAGGCGAAAGGAATAAGAGGAATGCATGAAAGCAAAACTCTTGTTTTAGTACTTTGCTTTCTTTGTTCCATCACCAACACTGGTAAAGGTGACGCCAGCCAGAATTGACTATCATGTTCTAAAAAGGTGAGACGTATGAGACAACACGGCCTGACAAAGAACCTCCAAGATGTGTGCCACAAGGCAGATAGCCTAAACATTTGAGCAACAGATCTTCTCAGAGTCTACTCAACCACTGGTCCGTTCGTTCATATCGCATCTACCAACAAAATGAGCCTGAAGAAATTGCCTAGAGAATTGTCCACGATATGAGTTTCGCGTACATGATTTTCGATACCGATGATCTCGGAGACCCGCAAAAGAATAGTCATCATTCTTCTGTGCTGTAAACGCATCTCGTCAACTCGCCTTATATTACACTCAACAAGCAGTACTGCGCTGAATACCTCGGAGTCTTGCTCACAGATATCGAGTTGGGATTCGAAACCCGTGGAGACGTGGCCGAAGACTGCCTGCGACTTTTTAGCCATCGATTCGCAATTGCCAATTCGCATATTGGCGCCGGCGGAGCGAAAGAGGCACTGTTTCTCTGCATCAAAGACGTCTACTTACACGAACGCAGATTCGCCCGGTACAGATATGCATGGGTTGACGGCTCGATGGACATACCTCTACAGAAACTATGGCGATGCCACGAAGCCTATAATATTCCTGGCCACAGCATCTCCCTCGCTTTCAACTATGGATGACCAACCACAAAGGTTGATCGAACTCATCTGGTCATCCAATACCATTGAATGTTTCAGCTGTCACAGCGACACACACTCAAGAAGGAGTGGAGGTCAAGATCTGGGTAGCTGATTCCAACAGATCCCGAACGAAGTAGCAGTCAAGATTCGTGGCTATTCCTAGTGTGGTCATAAGTACCCAAGATGTGGTCCGCGAAGAATGTGGTGGGTGTGCTCGTTGCTTGCGAGCAAGCAGTACCTGAACACAAGACACCTACCTCTGCGATTTGAAGAGCTGGGGCATGAATCTCTGCTCCCGGACAAGGACCGAGGACATTGAAAATGTGTGATCAATTGAAGACAAACCACAACGTTCGACGTTTCAATTGTTGTCATGCAAATGTAGATGTAGTGATGTGTACAGTCCGGTAATAACAAATTTATTGTTGATTGAGTTGTATTGCAGTGGTTGTGACTCAAGTCGATTGGGTTGATTGTGATGCATGGCTCGCCTGAAGCCAATCGAGTCTCGAAATGTTGGCGAGTCAAGAGTCTTTGTTATGGGTAGAGGACAATAGCACACAAGCCCAGCATACGTGTATAGAGTCATGGTTGTTGAGTTTTATGCCTGAAACACAGCATGTAAGGTCCAGATCGAGCACTGAGGAAGACACTTGGAGAATCGCGTGTATGCGTGTCGGTTTCGGGTAGCCATGGCGAATTTGCGGTGTGTTGTCCCTGGTAAACAGCTTTCTGTCGACAACGACGAACGTCGTCGAGTGTCTTTACCCATGTCAACTGCCGTCCGTCGTACGTCGCAAGCTCGGTCCTCAAACTAGACAGTTAGGAAGGCGGTGGACAATGCCTAGTTTCACTGAGTGGAGGACCTGGATGTTCTCGAGTTGAGGTAGTGCAATAACAATGCTTGACACCATACCACGTTGTCAGTTTTGAGTTGTTCAACTGCTGCACGTTGCTGGTGGATGGGTCTGTTGCTGTTTGGTGCACGAATGTGTTTTGTCCAGATCAAGTCTTTGCTTTGTGGATCCCCAGATCCAGGATCGGTGAAATTCGGCCAGATCGACGACCCTCTTTTCAGGAGTCGGCCTTCTCACCTTGACTGACGTAGAACTACTCCATAAAGCCGCAGCAGACCGATTGATCTCGTGCGAAACTTGGAAAACATTTTATTCGTCATCTCCCTGTCAGCTCGTTGAGAGAGACATGCGCACGAGACGAGAAACCAAAGGATTCGGTGCGGCTCAAGCAATTCCCAGCAACTCGGTTAAAATTGAGATTTCATTCGCTGCTTAGATTGGCGCCAACTTTGCAAAGCTCAGGGCGTTGCATAAGCACAGCATTTGGTCGGGGAAGCTGTCCGCAGTACCACACTTGTTAATCTGTGGGAGCTCCAGCTTCATGCTAATGGGAGACCATGGATGGGGGCTGGAGCGGGTAGACTGAATCACGGGCCTCACTATTGACCTTCGAATCCTTCGAGAGCCACAGGGCTTTCAGAGCGGGTTTTTGGGCATCATGCCAATGGGTTGAGGTGGTCACCGTCGGGTTGTGGTATTCCTGGTTGTCTGAGGCGGATGCGGGCCGATGCAGTTTGTAGATTCGAAAGATATCGGATCATCGGGATATCGGGAAGCGTTTCGAGTGTTGATATCGCAGGCCGCACACAGTACCTATTCAAGTCTCAACGGGCGTCGAGCACACCACAACCTACCCTTCCATCCATGCAAGCTGATGATTGACGCTGTCAAGGACATTAAACGACGGCGGCGGGCATGCAGGGCTTGAAAGTGTATGTGCATGTCACGGCCTTCGTCGCGTAAACAACAACATTAAAAGGACATATGCCTTGCATTGCGAGCATCAGTTCTTAGGCTCTTTTGATAGAGCTGAGACCTGCGGCCGGCATGCCGTGACGGGCCCGAAATGGTGCACTGCATAAGCTAGATGAAATTTGCTCCAGGCAGGGTCGAACGACGAGTGCCTGCAGTAAGAGATGAGTACTCGAAAAGTATACCTATCGGGTGGAAAATTTGCACGACATCAATGCATCTCTACAGCCTGAGTAACGCAACATGAAGTCTGCATATCTTTTCTTGTCGTCTTGCATATGTATGTACGACGTTGAATATCTGGGGAGCAGTGACTTGTCCGAGACATTGATTGTTCGGACAACACGAACTCGGTTTTGCGCGTGAAGACAGACATCAAGTCTTGACCATTCATGTATAAGCGCCTGGCTCATGACAAGTGACATTGTTGACAGTGTGTGTAGTTAGGAAATAGTGCGTCGTAGTTTAGACCAAGCCAGGCCTCGAGTCTGAGATGATTGCGCGATGTCCAAATGCTCGGGATCAACATCGCGAAACCCGCAGACATGCATACCATCGGGGACCCACCGGGCTTCCAACGGTGCGCGTAATCTTAACACAGCAACCGCTCGTCTAGCGTTTTAGCTCTCTCTACAACCCGACAACCAGGTCGGACGCAGCCAGCAACTGTCGCCAGACAGCCATTGCGGAGGCGCGGCCGAGTCGACCGAATGATACATGCATATCTATCACCAACATGGACGCGTAGCAAGACTCTGGAGCAAGAAGGCTGGGTGAGTTACAAGTTGACGATGCAGCACCTCAGCTCCACCTCTGGCGTCGCTTTCCCGCGTCTCCGCTCCTTCTGCTCGTGGCTTTGAACTCTAAGTTTTCGCAACTCTCAAAGACTGTGAAAAAGTCCGCAGTCTGCGCAAGGCCAGTGCTGAGGGCCCCTCCCGGGTTTCGCCTTGGTCCCTAAGTTGCTAATAGTGCGAAGTAAACAGAAGCGCCGCGGTAACATCGATGGCTCCCACCACTCGAAGGCCATCGGAAGCTGTGGTCGACGCCGACGTGCCCGAACAGTGGACTCGAAGTTGGAAGTTGCGCGATCGGTTCAGTGCTCACGAGGCACGGGAAGCACTCCATAGTGCCATGCGGCCGCTGGGCGCTGGCTGCAGGAACACCTAGCGTGATGGACATTGATGAGGGTGGCTTGACTGCGAGGGCCAGGTTTGATTCCTCCTCCAGATTTAGCCTACCATGGACGCATCCTCTGTCATCATTCGGCTGACGTTTCCTGGTCGTACACGCTCCACACTGCTGTACTTTTGCGCCGTGCAACCTAGCTTGCAGGCACAACATTGGCTTGCATTTTACCTAGGGCTTTTCTTCCCTTCCTTCTTCTCCCATCTTTGTCTTCCAACCACTTGTCAACCCAGTGTGCATCACATCTTGTGTCTGTCGCTATCGAGTCCTGTCACGCCCTCTACTATCACGAGCAACCTGAACAGTACCTCAGCTTGAGTCCTACTACCTACGACAACCCCTCCAACCATCTCTCTGGCCCTGTGGTCATGAATGCTCTCCCGGACTAGATGGCTCCAAAGTGGTTTTCGCAAAGCGATGACAGCTCCAACCAACATTCAGATACCGTGGCTTTCACTACATCCGACCCAACGCCCAAGAAGACCTCGCGTCTATCAGCAACTTTTGGCGCCGACTCGAGGCCGTGGAACTTCATGAGCTCTTCATCCGACCGCAGTTCATCGTCTTCCCGAAAACGGCTGTCACTGTTCGGCGCCCGTAATTCCACAGCCTCGTCAGCGGACATATTCTCGTCGGGTCATTCTTCGCCTCGAGATTCCGCTTTCGTCCAACCTGGTCGATCTGAAATTTCCCACCGTCCCGAGTCTCGCTTCAGCATCGACTCAAAGTCGACAACCATCGCCGTACCGCCTACAGATAACTGGCGCTCATCTGTTTNNTTTTCCCTGAGGCGTTCGTCCAAAGCTTCAAAGGGCTCAGATCCCAAGGATGAGACTCTACTGCGATGGCTACGTAGCGACAGTCGCACGTCGAGCTGGAGACGTGAGTCTACAGATTGTGACAGGGAGCACGAGTCAGATGAAACCTGTAAGTCGTGTGCACGGATGTTTCTGACATACGAGGACTAACGCCATCCGACAANNGTCTACCAAACATTAAGGAAGAAGAACATCTCGGCACCCTTCAACTTCCAGCATGTCACACACACCCAGCAGGAACAGCTGCCACAGTTAACAGCCGTCACCGACAGCGAGCTTGTCTCCGAATTCTGGGCTGCTTCGGCCTTCCAAGCTCCCAGAAGCGAACTTCGCGGTATTAAAGCAGACCCTGTGGATAGCAGCTATCGTGTCCGCGCAATTGAGAGGAGACCATCTACCGCTTCATCAGTTCGCTCCGACTCCTTCGCTCAGAGACAGCGCGGCTTGAGCTTTACTTCGTCTGTGCATGAACTCGACAGCACTCCTCGTACTCCTCGCGATGCCGAGTCTCCCGTCGACGAGAGAGCACGCTCATTGTCGCTCAGCTCGAGAACGTACAGCTTCTCCTCCCGACTAGATCTACCCTCGCGAGAAAGACTGGCTGCGTTGGGAGCAGAGCAGAGAGAGCCTCCTACCATGGTCCATCCCGCTCTGCGCACGCCTCCCCCACCCACGTTTGAGCGCACATCCAGCCAGCCCCAAGTTTTCGAACTTCCTGGCACCAGTCTCGAGTCGGTTCCTGAAGAAATGGAAGGTTGCGGACCTAGCCCAGCAAAGCTTCCTCGAGCAAAGGCTATGCTGGATCTATCGCCCCTTGTCTCGCCCAAGCTTTCCCCAAGATCGTCACCATCTCTCAATACGACTGCTCGTCCAAGGAATAGTCTTGTATTTACGCCGTTTCCTGTTGGCAACGCCTTTGCACAAGCACATGGAGGCTCCGGTGCTGAAGTACCCAGAACCTCTTCTGAGAGCCGTCTCTCTTTCAGTGTTGATGGCAATGTACCCAGCCTGACCTCGGGCGAATCTTGGGAGAACGATATTGACTTCTGCTACCTAGTAGAGGCTGAGTCATCGTGCGACTTCGATTGGGAGTCGGTAAGATCGAGCCGCAAAGGCTCTGCCTCTTCTGCTCGTAGAGACTCGACCACCAGCGTCTCGGTCCAACGTGCTTCATACAATGATCCCCCGCGCAGAGCAAGCATCAAATCGCAGCCTGATGTTGAGGCACTTTTCGCCGATTTCGATGGCAGCTCAAACTTCGTCAAGGAACAAACCCGACACGATTCTCCTCAGATGTCCGTCTCGCGTGCTGACCTGAGTCCCATCTTGGAATCACCTTCCAAAGTTCCAATCACCGATAGTAGTTCTGAGACAGTCAGTCCCACAAAACCTAGCCACAATCGCTCAATCTCCTTGGACGACAACGTCAAGCGTGGTCGCTCCTTGGATAGAAGCGCACGCTGGTCGATCGCATCACCTCTCTATCTTCCCGAAGATGCGAAACAACGTGGCATCACCTTCACACACCCTGTGTACAAGTCGCGACCAGTTCGCATGTCGGTACCTGCAGGCTTCGCTGCCCCTCCGCTGCCGCCACCAAAGACAGCACTCCCACCTTTGCCCGCACAGCAACCAGCAAAGCCCGTCTCCCCACCTGTTTCACCCACCTCAACATGGCCTAGCTCCTTCCCAACCATGCGCAGACCGTCATCCGCACAGGATCGCGCAATTCTCCAGGCTGCTGGACGTTTTGTCAGAAATGGGCGTGCGTCCAGCAGACCTACAACCCCAAGCCGCCTTTCGCACGTCCAACACGCCATGCGCACCTCATCTTCCACAGCTGTGGACTCCCCCATCACGCCACCAAAGACGACAGCTAGCACTGATTGCAAGTACGGTGGAGTTGTTTTACCCACTCCACCCATGTCTCCGCCCGAGCAACACCAGGGCTTCCAGGAATACCCAGCTTGGATATAAGTGAGCGACTTTTTGGGATTCTACAGTTTTATTTTTGTCTTTTCGCTTCATTTTCTTCGTCTTTTCACGTTTATGATCACACGGCCGTCTACGAACAAGATAATAAAAAGTCATATGGAACATGATTTTGCCTGGTTTTTAGCGGATACCCAACCCAGAGCGCGGAGCAGCATGGGGGTGTTTGATTTTTTTTTTTGGGGCTGCGTAGTCGAGTGAGGAGATACATGCATACAGGATATGCAGAAATATCAATCAAACTTTGTCATGACATAATTCCTATTCTCATCCATGTCTCGAAATGTATAAAGAGGTCGCGTGACATGTTCATTGTATTGAGTCTTGAAGATGAGCGTGTCCTCACAGCGATCGTGAGCAGCAATGCAGCGTCAAATCCCAGAAAGTGCTCTACACGTCTGCCGGGGAGGAACTAGTGCAAAACCTCGTACAAATCATGATACAATATTCAGAAGACATATTGGGTACATTTGATCAGGTTTTGAATGTACATCAGACGTGTAGCGACGATAGCATGGATGTTGTTGTCGAAGTCCGGGTGGTAAGCTCAACAAAGAGGACTTGGCCATTACAAGCTTGATACGGAAGTAGCGACCCGAAGCACAACATAGAACAAGAAAGAACACGATGGACTGAAGCAGAGAACGAACGCGTAAGCTCTAGATTAGGTGGGCAGTGTTATGAAAGGAGTAGAGAAATTGGCTTGAATTATAAGATTAAAATGGTAAAGCAGAAATGAGGTGCCGGCAGAGATGGTTTGGCTGCCCCTCATGAAATTGTGGAGAGCGACGATTGGGCCTTAAGGCTCTCGGCAGCACATGGCCCCCTCCCAATCCGCAAAGGCCGTTTATTTACTTCAACCTTGTACGAGGGGTTCGTGTTTCCCTCACTTGCATCTCACCGCTTTCGACTTTCTGTATACATTGGATCGCGAGACATCTCATCGCAGCGACAGGATTACTGGCTGCCCTTTTGGTCAAGAGGGAACAGCATCGCTATCGTCGCACACAGCTCTTAAGCGCCGGCGGGTGCTGAAGAGAAAGTCTTATCAGGACAGGGCGCGCCAGCCATGGCTGTGCTGCTGGAACAGAGTTGGGTCAAGGTGCAGGAGAAGACATTCGGCAAATGGTATCAGAGACCCACCACGCCTGCGCCCGACATGGACAAAGAGCTGACGAGGATTGCAACACAGGNNCTCAACAGCAAACTGCAGGTCCGCAATGTGCAAATCAAGGACCTGGTCACTGACCTCTCGGATGGTGTGAGTCTTGTGCTCGGCAAAGCTGTAGGCCTCATGCTGATGATGTCGTGCAGGNTTATGCTCATCCACCTCCTCGAGATCCTCTCCCAAGAATCACTAGGCCGCTATGCTTCTCGTCCCAAACTGCGAGTGCAGCGGTTCGAGAATGTCAACAGGGCCCTGGACTTTATCAAAGGCCGGCGCATCCAATTGACGAATATCGGCGCAGAAGACATTGTCGACGGCAATCGGAAAATCATCCTCGGTCTCATCTGGACCCTCATTCTCCGCTTCACCATCAGCGACATCAACGAGGAGGGCTTGAGCGCAAAAGAAGGCCTGTTACTGTGGTGTCAGAGAAAGACTGCCTGTTACGACGAGGTCGAGGTCCGAGACTTTTCGTCAAGTTGGAACGACGGTCTCGCTTTGTACGTGAAACATCCACCACAAAGCTCTGTTGAGACAATGCTAACACTGACCTCTCAGCNNTGCGCACTACTTGATATCCACCGTCCCGACCTCATCGACTACGACAAGCTCGACAAGAACGACCATCGTGGAAACATGCAACTAGCCTTCGACATTGCTTCCAAGGAGATCGGCATCCCAGACCTGCTCGACGTCGACGATGTTTGCGACGTTGCGAAGCCCGACGAGCGTTCGCTTATGACTTACATTGCCTACTGGTTCCACGCCTTCTCCGCCATGGAGCGTGTCGAGAATGCAGGAAGACGTGTGGAGAAGTTCGTCTCCAACATGCAAGGAGCCTGGGAGATGCAAAACAGCTTTGAGCGCCGTATGAGAGAGCTCCTCCGCCAAATCACCGACCAGCAAAAACAATGGAAGGAGGCCACCTTCGAGGGCTCCTACACCGATGCCAAGATGCAGAGTTCCGAGTTCATGGGGTACAAGCGCAACCAAAAGAGAAAGTGGGTAGCGGAGAAGAGTGACTTGGTCGGTCTGCTCGGAAACATCAAGACGAAACTCAGTACATACCGCTTGAGGCCTTATGAACCACCACCGGATCTCAGCCTTGCTGCACTCGACTCAGCCTGGGTCGGATTGATGCAGGCCGAGAAGGAGAGGAGCAGGGTCATCAACGAAACGATCCGCGACATCAAAAACACTCTACGGAGGACATTTGCTGACAAGGCCAACGACTTTGCTCTCGCTCTGCACACATTGAGCGTGAGCATCTCCGGACTCGAAGGCGAGGTCGAAGACCAAAGAGAGCACATCACCAAAATCTCAGAATCGGTACCACCCCTCGACGAATATCTAACCATTATCGGTCGCCTGGACGAGCAATGTGAAGAGGCCAACATTGAGGAGAACGACTTTACAACATATACATACGACGAGCTCGTCTACGAATTGGGCTTGGTCAAATCGAGTGTGCAGAAGAAACTGGCCTTTTTGGAAAACCAGATGGTGGCGCGCAGCATGACCAACCTCACGCCAATCCAGTTGGAAGAGTTTGAGTCCGTCTTTAGACACTTTGACCGTGGTGGCAGCAACTCACTGCAAGAGCTTGAGTTCTCGGCCGCGCTCGCAAGTTTGGGACTCGTATATGATGAAGATGAGATGCATGAACGCTTCTTGGAGGTCAGCAATGGTCCCGGTGGTACTGTCAGCTTCGAGCAGTTCATCCGATTCATGGTCGAAGTCACCGAGGATCAATATACGGCGGAACAAGTGTTTGAGAGTTTCCGCGAGGTCGCAGATGGCAAGGTAAGCTGCACTCTACATCAATAACACACGATCAAGCAAGCAAAAGCTAACTAACATGGTCTCAAACAGCCATATGTTACCGAACTCGATCTCAGACACTCACTCATCCCGGACGAACTCATCGAGGACCTGGTCAAGACGATGCCACAACACAGTGGACCAGACTTGCAAGAAGATCGAGACTTGGAGAAGTACGACTACATTACCTTTATGCAAAAGTACATGGGCGGTGCCAAACCCGATGCCAACGGGGAGTAGGATTAGGAAGAAGCACATGCAGTAGGCACTCAAAGATGCCATGCCTCTTCAATGCAACAGGTCAGCCACACGAACACATGCATAGCAGCGAAACAAGGAGTTTGCGTGCGTCACAAAGATATTGTTTTTGCATAGCGAGTTTCTTCGGTAGGAGTTTTTCCCTGGGCAAAATTCTACAAAATGTATATTTTATTGCAAGAACGCACAATTCAAGGACAGCATCTGAATCGAGATGCAAGAACAGAGAGATTGGTTGTTCTATGTTCGAGGTACCCCTCTGCGGGATGGGCGGAGTTTAAGCTTCGGCATGGCCGTAGAAAGAGTGTTTCACATGCACACTTGATATTGAGCATCACTGCCGTAGTGAGCTCGGCCAGTGTTTCACGAAGCCATATGAGAGAGAGCCAGCCGAATGAAGGACAAGGAAAGTGGACATTTTGTCGAGAAAAGAAGAGGGGCTTTGTGCTAAGGCGGCAGGTGCATGACAATGGGAAAGCCACTGCGGTAGAGTTGGCCGTTCAGGGGCCGTTCGCGTGTGACGTTGTGTGGATGGTGCATGGCAGTATAGAGGTTACTATGTCTCGTGCAATGGTCTTGGATACATTGGATACTTTGATAGAAAGATAGACGGACAAGAAGATGTTCTCCGTGTAAATACAGGAGCAAAGTGAACAAGGAAAGAGTGACATGTTTATGCAAGCTGGTGAAGGCGGTGAGAGGGCCAGGGTGCACGGATTGCTGGCTTGGTCCTGTCGGCGCAGGTGTGAGAGAGTGCGACAGCAGCCCCTCGATCTTTTTGCACAAACCTTCCAACCGTCTGTCGACTCGCTCGTTAATCTCAACGTCTGCAGGCAGAGCTGTCGTTGTTGCAAGAAGCCTGTCGTCTGACTCTGTCACTTTGTTGTTTGCGCCTCACTCTTTGAGCGTCTCTGGCAGCAGCACAGGGGGCCAACAAGACGCCGAACCAACTCCGCAATCTGCGCCTGCGCACCCGACAAGGGCCATTCACGACGTTACACGACACTCTCGCAACCACTTTGCGCATTCAACAGACCTCTTCGCTGTGCTTAACGGCTGTCGAACCTTGTGTTGCGCCGCGTCCAAAGGAAAAAGGTCGACTCGCACACTGAAGCGCTCGCCCACAGCCGCGCACCATGTCGCAACCACACGGGTATGTCCTATTGTCAGATGAAACCACCGCCGTGCCACGCTCACACTAAGCTCTAGCATCTACTCAGAGGGCTCCTTCATGAACCCAGGACCCGCCCCTCGTCCTCCCACCGACCGTCCCCGTCTCGCTCTCACCCCCAACGTTAACAATGTTGCCGGCAACATGAGCCAATTGAGCTTGCAGTCACCTGGTCCTGCCGGTTCCACAACTTCTCTACAGCGCTCCATGACTGACTTTGGCTCGTCTCGCAATGAGTCGTCGGCCGTCAAGTCTGGCTGGGCCAAGGTCAAGGAAGAGGGCGGTTTCATGAAGGGTGTCTTCTGGTCCGAGAAGTTCCTCGTCCTCAGAGAAAAGGCTCTCGACTTCCAAAAGAGCGACACTACCCCCAAGGTCTCCTTCTCCATCCCTCTCAAGGATGTCCTCAACATCACCAGATCCGAGACCATCCCCTTTTCCTTCGAGTTGACCCGAGGCACCCCCGGAAACGAGAAGATGGTCATCTGCAAGTTCGAGACGGACAACGATGTCTACGGCTGGATCGATGTCATCTACAACAAGAGCCCCACCATGGGCGGTGTCAGCCACCCCACCTCGTTCGCCCACCGTATCCACGTCGGCTTCGACCCCGTCACCGGAGGTTTCGTTGGCCTTCCTGTGGAATGGCAGAAGCTGCTTAACAGTTCAGCCTTGACCACGGATGATATGGCCAAGAACCCCCAGGCTGTTGTTGAGGCCCTCGAGTTCTACACAAGCAAGCTCCAGAAGAGAGCAGACGACCCCAAGCAATACCCCAGCCTGACACCCACCCCTCCAATTGACGCTTACGGCAACAAGCAGTTGGGCCACGGAAACGGCATTGCTCCTCCCCGTCCCCAACCTCCTTCTGCCTACACGAGAAAGGAGAGCTACAGCTCCACCCGCAACGCCTCGCCCGCCGGTTCGCAGCCATCGCTCTCGCGCACTAACACCGCGCCCCAGTACGATTCCCGCATCGAGGATGAGCGCAGACGCAAGGAAGACGAGAGACGTAGAATGCTTGAAAAGCAGCGCGTATACGAAGATTCTCAGAGAAGAGAGGCACAAGAGCTGGCAGACTATAACGCTAGTCTGCCCAAGCACAAGCTGCCCTTGGCTCAGCAAGAAGTTGGCGGTGGCGGCTACTCGAACGACCGTGATGCCAGCCCTTCTTCGAGATACCAACCTTCCAGACCCGCTCCCTCTGCACCTTCTCCGTCAAGCCAGAAGGTCAACCCAGTCCGCCAATTGACAGNNCTCAGCGCCAGGCTCCCACAGCACCATCTCCCAATGGCTCATCTTCCATTCCCAGACCCAGTCAATCTTCTCAGAGACAGCACTCTCCCAACAGCCAGAGAAAGCCCAGTGGCCAGGCTGGCGTTCACATGCCCTCTGGCTCATCGCAACAGAGAGAACACTCTCCTGCCGCTCCCAAGCCCCNTCAATGTCGCGTCTAAGCAACCGACTGGCGCGCCCATGGACCCCATCAAGAAGGCTGAGATGGCTCTTACTGCTGCTCCACCTAAGAAGGAGGAACCTAGAAAGGATGTGCGCATGTCGAGCATGACCGATGCCCAGGTCATGGAGAAGTTGCGCGAGGTTGTCTCGAAGGAGCGACCCCTCGACTCGTACAACAAGCAGAAGAAGATTGGTCAGGGTGCTTCTGGATCCGTCTATGTTGCTCGTATCCGCGAATCTGCCACTTCGCCCACCGCCCGCCAGCAATTGCGTGAGAACGGTCCTAGAGCCCAAGTTGCTATCAAGCAGATGGATCTCCGCAACCAGCCTCGCAAGGAATTGATCGTCAACGAGATTATTGTGATGAAGGACAGCAAGCACCCCAACATTGTCAACTTCCTCGATGCTTTCCTTCAGGAGGAGAGCAACGAGCTGTGGGTTGTCATGGAGTTCATGGAGGGTGGTGCACTCACCGATGTCATTGACAACAACCCCAGTATCTCCGAGCCCCAGATTGCCACTATCTGCCACGAAGTAAGTGTTGATCGAACTTCCTGAATCCATAATCCCAAGCTAACAAGAACCTCCAGANCTTGCAAGGGTCTCATCCACCTTCACCAACAAAACATCATTCACCGTGATATCAAATCAGACAATGTCTTGCTTAGTTCGCGAGGCAATGTCAAGATTACTGATTTCGGTTTCTGTGCCAAGTTGACTGAGCAGCGCAGCAAGCGTGCCACCATGGTTGGAACCCCCTACTGGATGGCTCCCGAAGTCGTCAAGCAGAAGGAGTACGGCAGCAAAGTCGACATCTGGTCTTTGGGTATCATGGCCATCGAGATGATCGAGTCCGAGCCTCCATACCTTAACGAGGAGCCTTTGAAGGCACTCTATCTGATCGCCACCAACGGCACACCACGTCTGAAGAAGCCTGAAGCCCTTAGCAAGGAACTGAAGAGCTTCTTGAGCGTCTGCTTGTGTGTTGATGTCAAATCTCGTGCCACTGCCGAGGAGCTTGGTAGACACGACTTCCTTAAGACGGGCTGCAACCCCAACATGCTCGCCGAGCTTCTGAGATTCAGAAAGCAGAGTGGCCACTGAGCGTGACCACATTAATCACGATTCGCATATACCCATGATACCCAAGCGCTGGCTTTTGCTTATATTGATACCACGAATGTTGTACTAGCTGACAGCCATTGCAAGTACGCAACAGTTGTGCAGACGACGACCAAGCGAGATACCACAAGCAAGAAAAGAGGAAAAACACTACATGACCTGCGGATATGAATAACTAAATGGAAAGCTAGCCAATGACGACCACGATGATGAAGAGGAAAGTGGAGATCTTTCATGTTTGCCTTACATGCTGCATCATCATCGAAGACGGTATCTCTTATGCTGCCTCTCACGAATGGAGTGAGGCGAAAGACGGGCTGCTGCCTTCACCACCATTTTCATTTCTTCACTTCTTATAGCGGAACGTTTGGATGCATGACGAATGGCCAAATGTTCGCCGACGTTCATCTTCCGGTTGCTTCTTTACTTTTATCAGAATAGGTGATGGTTGAGATGGGTCGAGAGAGAGTGCATGTAGCTGATGGCCGCCTCGTCAAAAAGGAATGCTTTTCGTCTGAATCAGCCGGCGTTCGCAGGAGATGGCTTTGGACAGGCACGGCGTCGAAAAGGAGAGTTGTCTCGGGCCTTTAGAGCAGTTGTTTTATGCATCAGATCAAGACATTTTTACAATTTGGTGGGTTTATGTGCTCGATGGTTGTTCACTGGTACTCGGTGGTAGAGACTGTAGGCGAAAGACGCCAAGATTTCAATGGCCCACCGAAGTTTGCGCGGGATGTTGTCGACGCCGCCGACTTTTTCGCGGGAGCGTCTCGATTCCCTAGCAGATCAATCACATACCAAGATGGACTCTATTCTTGGTCTCGTACAGGCGCTGCCTGCTACCGACTCATGGGGACCCNCCGTCACCACCGACACTCTGCGCGACGGTCTGCCCTACGCTCCCTTCTCCAAGGGCGACAAGCTGGGTCGCATGGCCGACTGGACCACCGAGGGCAAGGACCGTGAAGGCAGAGGAGGCAGACAACAATACGGCCGCAACTTTAGAGGTGAGGAAGATTTGGAACGAGTGAGAGGAACAGCGAGACTGACAAGTCAACAACAGNACCAGCCCTACGGCGCCGGCGCAGGTCTCCAAACCGCTCTCAACATCGAGGGCATCGGCGAGGAAGCTAGCTTCTCCATTGTCGACAATTCGCGCACTGCTGCTCGCCGCACTTTCGGCCGTGGCGGTGGCACCGTTTTCCGTGGCCGCGGTGGTGCTCGTGGTGGCGCTGCTCAGCGCGGAGGACGTGGTGGCACTTTCCAGCGCGTTGGAGGTGGCAGACCCGGACAACAGCAATACGACAACCGTGGTGCACAGCGTGGAGGCCGTGGTGGCCGTAGAGGAGGCTGGAAGGACTGGGACAAGCCGCAGCGCACTCGCGAGGCTTCGGTCCAGCCTCGCGATACCTGGAAGCTGCTTGAGGAGATCGACTTCAACCGTCTCATCAAGCTGAACCTGGACACTGGCGACGGCGAGGATGTCGAGGACTACGGATTCCTCTATTACTACGACCGCCAGTTCGACAAGCAGCCCGGTGCTCCCACCTCTTTCCGCAAGCTCAACGTTGTTGAGCGCGCCGCCTACAATGTCACAACCTCTCACGACCCCATCATCCAGGATCTGGCCTCAAAGGACGCCGCTTCCATCTTCACCACCAGCGATATCCTGTCCATGTTGATGTGCGCTCCCCGCTCCGTCTACTCATGGGACTTGATCATCACCAGACAAGGAAACAAGGTCTTTATCGACAAGCGTGAGGGCAGCAATGTCGACCGTGTCACTGTCAACGAGAACGCCGCCGACGCACCGCTCGAGACTTCCGAGGGCACCAAGGACACCATCAACAACGTTGGTGCCCTCATGGAGGAGGCCACCCACATCAACCACGTCTTCCCCATCCAGACCGTCACCGAGAGCCAAACGTCCAAGCGCGACATGGCCAACGAGCACCCCTTCTACAACCCCGAGGAGGAGACCGACNCCCCTGCTTCCAAGGCCTACAAGTACCGCAAGTTCGACCTTTCGCTCGAGGCCGACGAGCAGCCACTACACATCATTGTCCGTACCGAGCTCGACGCCGTTGTCAAGAACGCCATCTCTGGCGAGGACCAATACCTCACCATCAAGGCTCTCAACGAGTTTGACAACAAGGCCATCGGCAGTGGTGGTGCTCTTGACTGGCGCACCAAGCTGGCTTCGCAGCGTGGTGCCGTTGTTGCTACCGAGATGAAGAACAACAGCTGCAAGCTCGCCCGCTGGGCTACCCAGGCCATTCTCGCAAAGGCCGACCAGATGAAGATTGGGTGAGTTTATGATTTGACGACCTCTACAGAAGAAAAACAGTTGCTAACATATATCGCAGTTNTCGTGTCGCGTGTTAACCCCAAGACCGCAAACGACCACGTCATCCTTGGTGTTCTCGGCTACAAGCCCCGTGAGTTCGCTGCTCAGATGAACTTGAACCTCAACAACGGTTGGGCCATTGTCCGCACCTTTGTCGACATGGTCATGTCGCAAGACGAGGAGGAGGCCAAGTTTGTGCTCGTCAAGGACCCCAACAAGCCTACCATCCGCCTTTACAACGTTCCTCGCGACACCTTCGAGGAGGAAGAGGAGATGGCCGGTATTGACGAGGAGTAAGCTAATTCATGAGGATGAATGTGGAACATGGTATGTGCCTAGGGCTAGATGGGAATTGGCATGTTGTGTCGAAAGTACAGAAAAAGCGAATGTTATCTTTTTTACGACATGAATACGTTTTCTTACTTCCTCCCAATTCCTCATTCTTTGGCGTTTGTTTGACCTCGATGAGTTTGTCGCATGTGTTTCAAGGGGACACGACAAAGAAGGAAGTGGGCTCAAAGCGGTGTGGAGGCCTTGGCAATGTGGAACGGTCGTCATCGTTCATGTGAAAGAGCAGGCAGTAATTCCACCTTTCGCTGTTCCTGTACTTTTACAATAGCAACCCTATATCATTAGAACAAGATGGTGTTCCAGAGCCATGGACCAGTGTCATTCACAAAGACGACGCTGTCATATCCCGTGTATGCAGCCGAGTTCGACCCCTACAACCGTGGCTTCCTAGTGGTAGGCGGCGGTGGTGGTCAAGGTCGCAGCGGTGTCGCAAACAAGATTGTAAGCTACATGTGAAGCCATGTTGGTGACGCAGTGGATGCTGATATCTGTAACAGANCGCTACTGGATGCGAGCAAACGTTCGACCCTGGACACAACAGCAGAGATCGAGCTCTCGAGCGAAGAAGATTCAATTACATCGCTCGCGACACTTGCCTCCAAGGACGGTCTCATCACGCTAGCTGGCATCAATTCATCAGAGTCGGATCAAAAGGCTGGCAAGAACCAACATCTGCGCACTTTCGACATCACGTACCCCAAGAAGAAGCAAGCTTCGGACGAGAAGGAGGACAGTGAAGCTCAAGATGGAAACATCTCATTCATCGGCAAGGCATCGCTCTTCCAACCAGCAACAGGCCCCAAGCCAGAAACATACCAGCGCGTGCTGCGACTCTCGCCCACATACAAGCGCGACTCGCCGAACAAGCGCATTGGAGCTGTTGCGACCGGACTAGCCAAGCAATCCGAGATTGTCGTCTTCGATGCCACAAGAACACCAACCACCGACGCCGAGATCATCGCCCGTATTCCTATGCGCGATAATGCCGAAGCTGCCGATCTGGACATCACAGAGCTGGAGACCAACACTTTTTCAATCACCTGGGCTACCGATTACGATGTTTACGAACAGACGGTCATGTACAACTTCGACACCAAGAAGGCTTCATTCGCTCCAGCAAACCCGCGAAAAGTCTATTCCATGCCTAAGAGCGAGGATCCCAAGAAGCCTGTCCGTCCCAAGTACCGTGCCATTAGATGGTTGGGCAACGAAGATGTCTTGCTCTTGAGCAACCTGCCTAACCGTACTGGTGCCGAGTTGAGCATTATTCACTTCTACCCATCTGGCCCGGCATTAAAGGTCAAGCGCAAGGTCTTGCCTGGCCATGTCAAGCAGGCAGTCGGTCTCGACGTCTGCAGTCTGGACTCGGATAAGGCTGGGAACAAGCAGATCGTTGTTGCCATCGCCGGCCACGACATTTCCATTCCCGTCTACACTCTCGACTACAACGCCAACACTCACACCTTTGGCAGCTTCAAACGATTTACTACCCTGCGCGATGTACACCCACTACAGATGACTTGCCTTCGCTTCTCGTCCTTCCACAGCCCCGTACGCGCTCCTCCACCAGAGCAAGACAGGAAGGGTAACGCCCTGCCCATCAAAAATCCAGTTCATCCAGGCCCTCAATACATCAAGCTTTGCAGCACCAGCATGGGTAACACCGTCGTGGTAGACACTTTTGCTCTTCTCCCGTCGCAGCCATCAGACCGCCAGAGCCGCTACGTCCTCTTGCACCCTTCAGAAGAGCTGCGCCAACGCACAACCTATGGCATCCTCATCGGTTTCGCTGTCCTCATCTTTGCCATCCTGCTCCAATCCATGTACTCTACCGACCCCTTTGCACCCGGTCTTGCCGACTATATTCCTCTACCAGCATCGTGGCAACGGACTCTATCCCACCCTGCAAGCATTGCTGACAGTATGGGCCGCAAAGGCTGGGAGCCCATCGTCGATGCTGCATCCTCTGTATCTTCTGCCGCGTCTTCCGTCTCCTCTGTCGCTCCCTCTGTAGTTTCTGCCGCATCTTCCGCCGTCGCTTCTCCTGGTGTCAGAATTGCTGACTTGCTGGATATGCACTTTGCCCTCCCTGGTGGTTCAGAGAATGCAGACGACAAAGCTGTCATTGTTCGCGACCAAGGCGAGGGTAAGAGTCTTGCTGTGCACATGGGAGATAAAAAGGAATACATGAAGCAAGACCAGAAAGCGAGACATTGGCATGAGTTGAATAATGAGGAGCAACATGTTTGGAGACAGAGATTGGTGGATGCTGGACATTGGACTATTGAAGAGGGCGAGACTATTCTCAAGGGAGTTGTGTTTAGTAGTTGGGCTGGATTCGTGGGGAGGGTTGCTGGTGAGGTTATTAGAGAGCTCTGAGTGGCTCCATTGTCATCGCTTATATGGGGTAGGCCGGCACTGATAATGGTTTAGACGTGTAGGTATCTTCGTCGAATAGATTCCTAAACAACCTCTCTACCTTCAAGACCGCAAGATCATCCGGTTCAGACCCTTGAGCCAAAGACTAGTCAGCTCCAACAGAACCATATAGAAGTAATTGCGTCTTTGCACACAATCAACAAAACAGATACCATCATCACCAGATATCAATCATCGGCTCGTAGTTCCAAAGTCTGCAAAAAGCAACGACACAGCTCGGACTCGAACAAAAGATTGGTCGGTGCCTATTGTTGTGGTGTCATGGCTTGCCGTAACCGGCACCAACGAGAGTGTCAGAACTGACTCCCGCTACACCGTCCAAGTTGTTCAGTCACCTTGAAGGAGCTTTCAGATCTGTGGCTATATAAAGGCTGCGAGTGAAGGACGCCTAGGCTCAGGGAAGTTGGCCCCTGAAACAACTTCTCTCCATGGCGACTTTCTGGTTCTCGGAACGTTTGTGAATCAAAACACGATCACAGGAACACCATTTCTGTAGGAGAAAGAACAATTGTGGCGTCAAAGTTATGAGATACTTCTCTCCGTTCTCAAAGGTTGTTGACTGATTTTGGTTCACTTGTTTGATCCGCACGACCAATTGTTTTTCACTTTATTTATCTTTCCACCCAATCTGCTTTGTTTGCGCTTCTCGAGACTTTCACTTTCCCACTCAACTTGCCCACCACATTGATCTTGCGCGCTCAAGATACCACAATCGCGATCTTACTCCCATCCACTTGCTTTTCTTCTCTCCACGTCGCCGCATCAGACCAGAGCCTCGCAAATCCCACTACAACAACGTTCATCATGAAGAGAGTAAGTAGCGTCCGCACACCACCCATGTCTGAGCTATACTGACCATCAAACAGCACCGAAAGAACTCCGCAAAGGAATCTGTCACACATTACAAGCCTGTCGACTTCACTATTCACTCCGAAGACAGCCTGGGCAATCTCAGCCGCTTCCCAAGAGAAATCAGAAACATGATCTACAGCGCGATCGTCCCTTCAATCATGGCGCACAGCTTTGAAAGCACGAATATCGATCACCGCGTCGTACGTGAGCTCATTAACGCTCCGATTATGGCTACAAGCAAGCAGCTCTGTGTCGAATTCCTCGAAATCTTCATCCGGGAAATCCACATGGAGGCAAGCAACGAACACTATAGAAAATGCCACCCGGAGCCTGGAGATGAGTATGACTCTGTAGGAAGTTGTCTGCAAGAGCCTGCCGACGGACGTGGCGAAGCTTGCCCTGATTGCCTCGAGAAATTCCTGGCATTTGTCAAGGGTCGCATCGAGTATGATTTTCTCAGCAACCGCAGAAGACTCGGACTTCAGATCAACACGTTCTACTTCCAAATGGACAAACACACGCAGGAATGTAGGGAGGGCAACCTTGAGGAGCTACCCCAGAGATTGCAGCGTCTGTGGGACATTCACGAGGATTTTCGTGTTCCATCTGATCACATCTACCTCAACATGGACTACGGCCAACCAGGAGATTACATCCATTGGAGATTGCCTGACAATCTTCCGTTCAACTCTCTCCCACATCATTTCTGGAGTCCCGATTTCGAGTTTGTTTCCACAAACATAGAGCTGTCCGATGAGGAAGCCTCGACTCGATTATTCCATGACATGAGAAGAAAGCTGAAGGCCGAGATCACAGCCTACAAAGCTTTGAAGCTACGTGAGTTCCTAGAATCTTCTCCCAACGAAGAAGAGTATGCATGCATGAAAAAGCAACTGAATCATGTTTGCTATACTTTCTATCGGGGAGGCATTCAACCCATGCTGGAGTTCCACATAGACATGGCAAAGACGGCTCTTGAGTTCTGGAAGGCAAAAGAGGAGCAATACAATGTTTGGCATCTGTTCGACCTTGCTGAGTCATGGCTCGCGGAAAAGTAGACAGAGAGGACCAAAAAGTGAATAGGGTACCCGTCATGTATGATACCAAACGGCATAGTGGCGTAGATTGGTTGACAGCAGGGAATACATTCTCCTTATTTGCCCCCGTTATTCAGTTTACACCACTTTCAACAAGGTTCTGCAAAAGTAGTCTGACGAGAGAGGGCTTCTAGCTCTATGAGGCAGACGATGGCTTGGAGTCCACGGACTCCTCGAGAGCTTTCCAAGTCTTCGTGACTAGCTGCATGATGGTACGATGGAGCGGCTCGATTTTAATCAGCAATGTTCCACCGATACTCTGTCAAAATGAGAGAGACATGACGAGATCCCAGTTCATTGTCCTTGATTTCCTTTGCGAACTGTTCTTGAGCTTGGTCTATGCTTTTCCTGAGTGCCTTTGCCGAAGCTTTGGGGTTGGTAACATGTATCTTGATCGTCCAGGGATCGGACAATCCGCGCTCTGGAAACTCCTCGTTCGGCTGTCGAGACCAAGGTCGCACTCGAAACCGTAAGTAGTCTTCCGAGGGCAGTCTATGCATCACCAGGATGAAGACTTGCGAGGTTGTAATGTGGTGATGTCGGTGAAGCCACCATAAGGCTTGCACATCTTGTGCCATACTTTCTGCAACTGGCCGAGGCAGACTCGATCCAAAACTGTGGCTTGAGAGATTCACAATCAGACCTAGGCCTTGAACAGTACTTCTGAAGTTGTTGCCAGAAGTGCCACCCCTAACAAGGGCCAGGAACTGCTTGTACAGGCACATTCGACTCCAAGACTCCACCACAGTGTGACGTTTGATCTGTAATAGGAACACACCGCGCAGTTCTGCTGACAACTGCCTGCTGATCAGACGAATGAAGGGTTTGTTGAGTTGACTCAATACCTTGGATGCAAGGATTCCCTCATGCGGAGAATCCTGACATTCCTCGAGGATGAGATCGACCCAGAAGCTGTAGATACTGTTGCGAATTTCGCTTGGGAGACGGCCGAGAGATCCAAGTCCGCCTGTGATTGTGAGGGTGGTAGCCTGGAGACGTAACGAAGACGAAGAGACCGACGTCTGTCTCAATGTTAGCTAGATTCTGGGGCGTCGATGACGAGACGTTTTCTTACCACCGCCTCACGCTCTGCGATCTGATCCTCCATCGGATGGTAGAGAATTGATTCTTATGACAGTCGCCCATGATGTGGAGTGACGGTGACCTTTATGTTGACAAACAGAAGAAAGGAAGTTTGAGAGAAGCAACACCACGAGGTTGGAAAGTACAGTTGATTCCATTTGAGATGAAAAGCGCCATGCTAGATTGGACAGAACAACAAAGAAAGTTTGTCATCTTGGGTCGGACGGAGAGAAGAAAACAGCACGAGTGCATAGCTGGCCCTGTTTGAATCAATCCTTAGTCATTGCTAACCATGAACTTCTTTCCATCTGAGTCTGCGACAAGCATCTTCTAGCTCCTGTTCATTTTCATCCTCCCAATACTGCATGGCTATGTCGATGAGAGGAAGGTGGATCTCCCTCACCCTGATCCACGTGTCTCTAAGAACTTGCTTGCCCTCCTTCACAGTGCCCTCCATCTCTTTATGCTCTGAATAGTAGCCACGGATTTTTGCAAAATCGCCGAGAACGATAGCAAGATAATCGAGAACCCTCTCTTCCATATCCTTGCAGAACTGATCCATGTTCTTGATAGATTGTAGTCTGTCTCCCATGGTAATGTTGATAGTAAACTCTCGAGAAGGTTCACAAGCGACGACCGGTAATCTGTACTGGCGGCTCCGGGCCCCTCGATAGAATAGAACCGTGTCGCGAAGAAACCGATCCAATTGTTCCATGGAATCATCGCACTGGACGTGAACCAAGAATTTTCTTGCTGGAATACCGATCTGGTTGACACATTTTTGAAANGTCTTGAGCATGACGGCATATCTGATGAGGAACTGCTGACGCTCAAGGCGGTTTCCAGATGAGGCCGAAGAGTCACTGAGGACAGTGAGCGTCCTCAAGTGTGAAGCAATATCCACGACCGTGCCTAGGTCACGAAGTATATGGCTCAGGTTCTCAATCCCAGGTGTTCGTCCTCTACAGACANNGCTTCTGCGAAGTGATGCTTCCAAATACTCTCGATAGAAAGCAAGGCTGCACCCCTTGCGAATCGCGAGTGAAACTCTGCTGAGAATGACTGCTTTTGCTTGCCAGACAGATGCCAAGAAAATATCGATATTGTGTGGATATGAATTGATGTCATCTGAAAANGAGAGATCAAAGATCATGTCTCGAACTTCACGTGGCAATCTTGCCAAAGTACCGAGACCAAAGTTGTCCATGTCGATGTGTGTATTGTAGTGTTGCTGACAAGTGTTAGATGTGGCTAGGATGAAGGACAGATAATCGTTTTTAACAGGCAAAGGTCTTAAATAGTCATCCATTGTTGAGCAAGTTTGAAGCGGTGGTGAGTCGGCCCTAACACGTGGCCGTCTCGCCAGATAGCCATATTCAGAACACATATATCGAAGCCGTGTATATTCAGAAATTTCTCATATGGCGGCAAACATACTAGCGGAGGCCTAGTGCGTGAGTGTTGTGTTGTGCTCTAAACAGTTACGGAACGAATAACAGAACTTTGCCGTCAGCTTGACCTCCAACATCAGGCGAGGCTAGTGATACTCTCAAGGATCTGGGTAACGCTGGGATAGAGCAGATCGTGGTGGTAATTGACAAGCTTGGTCCTGAAGTCGACGCCTCTTTGCACCTTCCACCACAGCGGTGACCTGAGCAATATTTCGTGTCCGTCACAAGAATCGCTCCTACTGTACCGGACAACATTAGAGAAAGAGCGTTTTGCGTAGCTCGAAACTCATCTCGAGCTCGAGAAAGTCGTTGTCTCTCAAGTAAGCCTCGAAGAATTCTTGACGCAGCCAGGAGCTGATTTGCATCTCAGGTGCACATCGCATGCAATTTGTCGAAGACCAATGAGAATGTCCATGCAGGAGAGGACGACTTAACGAAGCAGCGACATATCTCGAGATCGTGTCTCTAATTTCTCGTGGCAGTTTTGCCAAAGTGCCGAGACCAGCGTTGTCCATCGCGAAAATCGGGTTTGTGAGGTTGGGTATGTCGGAAGCTGTATATGATTTGGTAGGTGCTAGCTTGGAAGCGTCTGAAGAGTCACCACGGAATTCAAAGAAAAAGGCTGAGTTCAAAGTTGGGAGTAAAGGTGAGGCTTTGATGCATTAGAAAGAGATGTAGGTAGTCATTGATGAGCATGTTCGAGGCAACAGTGAGTCACACCTAGCACGGCTCTGCCAAACCGAAGAACTCGCCCAGACGTTACTTCTCGAATTTATCCTCCTGCCACGAGTTTGTCACCTGATTGATGAGCTTCACGGAGATACTGAGTCGGCAGAGTATTGTATCCAGGCTCGAGATAACCAAGGAATAGATCTGAGCGAACAACAAGACCGGCGGCTCTAATATGTGTAGCGATATCGGTCAATGAGTGTACGTCGCGTAGAAAAGGTTCAACCTGGTTGGCATAAAGGGGGATTTGCTCGAAGCGATTGTCTCTCATGAAAGCTTCCAGGAACTCTTGGCGAAGCTGGCGATTGATATGCATGAAATGGCTACACCGCATAGCTCGCCAGTGGATGTCGTATATATTCTCGGTGAGCGAGCGGGCTGGCGTGTGGCTGGCCACAACATGGCTGGAGATGATGTCGCGGACTTCACGTGGTAACACGGCCAGAGTGCCGAGTCCGTGTTCGTTCATGTTGGAGGTCAATACGGTGAGAGACATTCAAAAGAGGTCTTGTTGTTGGCTAAGTCTGTTAGCTGCGGTTGGTCATTTGAGCAAGCTTTGGTGTGAAGACGAACAATCGTTGATGACAGAGCACAAAGTTGTGTCTCCTTCTGTTGGTTTAGTAGTGATTGATGGAGGCAAGCGTGCGCGATCGAAGCCGCAGACTAGGACTTGACGGAGGCAAGAGGGTTGACAGAGATCGTGTTGACGAAGACAGTCAAGCGTCTGATGCACAGTGCGCTTCAGATGAGACGATAGAGCAGGTTCGTTGCAGGAGATAGCGGCGTTGGCTATGAGACCCGAAAGGTGGTGATGCGCAGTCGACTTTGAGTACAACTTGCATTGAGTGCAATTGATGTTGCAGGAGTGACCAGTGTGATGGAACGTGGGACCGGGATCGTGTCGTGAAGAGTTGCTGTGAGTGACGGAGATCGCCACGGCGATAGTGAGTGCGCAAGGTAGATACAATGACTCTGTTGTTCACTCCTCAGTCAGAATGAAGAACGTTATCTTCGTCAAGATGAAACTGGTCAACACCAGATTCACTTGAAGTGCAGAGAGTGCACGAGGATCGACGAACGAACCCTCAATCTGCAATGATACATGTGCCAAAACCTGAACTGCGTAGCTATAGATATGCACAACTCACTTCATGAGCTCAGAGCACGACACTCACTTACAACCCTCGCCCATATACCTCCCTCGACTCCGGTTTCCCACAAGTAGTGTCCTGGATGGTGTAGTGGTCTAACACTTACACCTGAAACGCCATGAATACAAACGCCTAAGTCTTAAACACCAATAGGTGCGCTGTAAACTAATTGGCCGGAGGGTTCGATTCCCATCAGTGACGAAGAAAAGTTTCGCACTTTCTTCATCAAGGGCGTTTGTCCCAGGGCAGAGAGGTTCGTAGGACCACCCTGGTTCTTTTGCTCTTTTTGTACAATGAGTTTTGCTTTCGTTTCTGTTTGTGATTACTCATGCTTGACTCTTGTGGTGAGATGTCAGGCGCCTGTGCCATGGATCCAATCGAGGAAGCCGAGAGTGCCAAAGTTGACTCTGGACTTCTCATGATGGAGGTCATGTTTCTTGGCGAAGACTGTGAAGAAGTCATACCCACTGTGCGCAATGACCGTTTCAAAAGTAGCCGCTATCCAGAACAGGAAGCATGTCAGAATATGGCAACCCAGGATCTGCGGAGGTAACCAAAATGGTAGAACGGTAGACACGAGGTACTCCATTGGATGTGCATACTGAGCAGCCAGAGCTATTGGAGCTTTGAATTGATGGTGTTGGTTGTGTATGCGCTGGTAGAGAAATTTGATGTGTAAGAGTCGATGAGAGTAGTAGAATATGATTTCGCAAAGAAGGACGCAGACGATGAGGTCGCGTACAACTTCAGAGACACGTGGTGTGACATTTTCGAAGCGGTAGAAAGACGAGTGGCCGACAAGGTGTAAACCTCCAAGCTCGAGTACTTTGGCTGCTGCCATGAGTAATTGATTGAGAATAACCACATCGACGCAATGCCAGATCTGAGCAGAAGATGGAGTTGGTCGGGACTGGATCTTGTGTCGCAGGGAGAAGGAGGGCAAGATATAGTCGACACCCAGTAGCAAGAGAGATGGCAGCCAGAAAGCACCAAATTGGATACCCAGTGTACCGATAAGCTCAATCTTGGAAGGAGAGGTCGATTGTAAGACCATAGACCAGAATGTCTGAATGAGTTGAGGCATTTGTTGAAATTCTGATGACGCCTCCAGATGGTCAGAAACGATCAACCTTCCATCAATTGTAGGAACTGTCAGCTACAGGATTCAACATCCGGCTGCTGCTCTGGAAGGTATCGAGCTGAGAGAAACCGAGAGGCTTTGTAGAGGCCGAATTACAGCACAAGATGGTGACAACTGAGATGGCTGTTGAGAGTTCACGATACGTACACCTATGGTTGGAGGGGAGATTGGTCGTCGAAGGCCTCAGCCGATATAGTACAAACGCTTGTTCGTCAATGTGACGTGTTGGGCGATTCAGGGACCACGTGTCCAGAAACATGCAGATTCAAGGAAACTGCTTTGGTATCAAATGATCGCAAAATGTAAGATCGATGCTTTTGGCATGAAACATCAGTGTTGATGAGGAAGGTACGGCTCAAAGGTTTGTGTAACAAGAATCCAAAAGGGTTGACTGCAAGCCAAGCAAAGATCGGCCAATGAAGCGACGATGCAATTTATGGAAGGAACGCAGGAAGGAGGCACGACTTACTTACGACTTGGAGTAGGAATTGATTTTTGGCCTATCTAGATCTCGCTGGGGGTGCTTGAGCTTTTTTCTTAGCTATAAAAATGCACAAACCTCTTCCAGACTGTGGAGAGTCCATTGAGACGTCTGTCGGCTTGCCGTCTCTCCGGTAATCTGTGGTATCTCTAAGTCTTCGTGCATTGCGATAAGACATCTTAATCCATCCTTCTCAGTCGGGATGACATATTTACTCAGCAGCCTCCTTCTGACCCTCGTACGCGGGTAGGCGAGCGACAACATCAGACCATGTCTCCTTGCCCTTCACCATGCGGCTGACTGCCTTGATAATGTCAGCTTGGCTGGCGCGTACCTGCTTAGTTGAGTCGCGGTCTCTGAGAGTGAGGGAACCGTCGTCCAGGGCCTCATAATCGATGGTAATGCCGAATGGGATACCAAGCTCATCGTTACGAGAGTAACGCTTGCCGATACTGACACCAGTTTGGTCAATTTTGAATGAGATGGACTTGTTGTCAAGAGCCTCCTCGAGCTTAGCAATGAGGGGAGCGAACTTGGGGTCCTTCTGGAGGGGACAGACGAGAACCTTGATGGGAGCGACGACAGGCGAGAAGGAAAGAACGGAGCGAGCCTCGTCGTTCTCGCGAGTCCAGTAGCTGTGCTCCATGAGCGAGTAGAGGATACGACCAATACCGAATGAGGGTTCGATGACGTTGGGCACGAACTCGCGGAAAGTGATGGTCTTCTTTTGCTTCTCGAACTTGACGATGGAGGTGTCAATCTCGACCTTGCCGGCAGCGATCTCCTCGACAGGGACCTCAGCCTTGCCCTCGGACTCCATGGTGATCTGGAGCTTCTCCTTCATCTCCTGCGAGAGAGCCTCGAGAGCGTTCTCGATAGCCTTGGCATCCTTCTTGAACTTGGGGCCAGCCTTCTTCTTGTCAATGACAGGGACCCACTCCTCGATGGTCTCGGGGTTCTTGAGCTGCTCACGAGCACGGAGGACAGTTCCAGTAGCCTTCTCGTGGACAGACAAATCGTAAGCAGAGCGGTCGGCACAGCCAACACACTCAGTCCAGCCGTAGCTGTTGAGCAACTCGCAGTCCCAGCAGTCGGAAGCGTAGTGAGCCATCTCGTTGGCCATGTGCTGACGGAAACGGAGCTTGGTCATGTCGATACCGATCTTCTCCATGAACTGGAAGATACGAACAAGGAAGTAACCAAGAGTCTCGTTGTCGACCAGCTTAGTCTTGACGGCCTCACCGATAGCAACGTATGTGGGCTTGGTGCTGCCAGAGGTTTGAGTGTCGCGATCGAGGAGGGGAAGCTTGATGTCAGCAACGGTGTGGAACTTGGGGTGAGCCTTGCCGCCCTCAGGGTCAACGAAGTGCTCAATCTCGGCCATCAAGAATTCTCTGACACGGAGAAGACCAGCGCGAGGAGAAAGCNNTAAGACTTGTTAGTATACTTCTGTCGCTAGTAGTCACGGTGTGCGTACCTCGTTTCTGAAAGAGTAACCAATGGAAGCAGAGGCGAAGGGAAGCTGACCATCGCTGTACTCGAGGAGCTTCTGGAAAGACAGAAACTGACCCTGAGCAGTCTCAGGTCTGAGGAAGGCAGGAGAGTTGGAAGAAGCACCGATTTGAGTCTGGAACATGAGGTTGACAGAAACAGGAGGCTCAACCTCGTTGCCGGAGGAGGGGTTGCGGATGTCGTACTTCTTGATAAGTTCACCCATACCCTCACCAGTGTAGTCGTCGAGCATGGCAAGAACGTGCTCGTACTCCTGGCGAACAGCATCGTCGAGCTTGACGGCACCCTTGGCGGCCTTTGACTGCTTCTTCTTCTTCTTGGGGTCCTCTTCCTTCTCCTCGATCTTCTCACCACGGGCTTCCTTGTCGGACTTGAGACGAGACTCGAGCACGTCACCGATCAAGTGGTCGGAACGGAGGATTTCACCAGTCTTGGGGTCCTTGNNCCTGAGAAACGTCAGTTTAATCAAAATCAACATTTCTTAAGAATAGTTCGTACACATGTAGTCGGCAAAGCGGTCACTGTTCCAATGTCAGTCAATCCAGTATACGTGCAAATTAACAACCAATTCATGATCGGTTTCAGACACTTACACGTGACCAGAAGTCTTCAAGACTTCGTAAGGAGTAAGCATGGAGCACTTGAGAGCCATCATCTTCTCGGAGCGAATAAAGTGATCACGCCAGATCTGAATGACTTGACTCTCGAGCTGCTCAAGTGGAGGGCCATAATCGAAAAGACCCTTGACCGAACCGTAGGGCTCGAAACTCTGCCACAAGAAGACCTTGCGGCGCAACAGAGACTCAAAAGCGGCTCTATCAAAGGCCTGGCCCTTTTGGGTAACGTAATCAGTCGACATTGTTGGTATGTTTCGCGTGCGCGCCTGAACAACAGCACGAAAAGTGATGGTAGTTGATGAAAAGGCTCTGATAATGTGCCTTTGAGAAGTGGAATGCCTATTGGTGACCTGGCGCAGGTACTTGAACATAAAAATTCGACAAAGATAGTACTTGTCAAAAAGAAAGAGGTAGAAAGAGCCGCGAATTGGCGATGTCAAGTGGTATGCTCAAGCGCTTGCTCATCGATTGCGGTGACTGTGTTCGAAAAAGTGTAGGTGGTCTGAGCTTCCTTCTACGACGTGTCGTTCATACGCAGCTGTAGCAATGCACAAAATAAACTCAGCAGAACAAAACACCGGTGAGAGCCAGACAAAAGTTGCATCTCATCGAAACTACTCCTGAATGTAATAAGGTTGTGCATTTCTATAACTGCTTTTCGTGCTGTCTCTCACATTGGGAGTGCCGAAGAACATCTGACCTGGCTTTTTGACGTCGTATAGAGAAACACGGGCCGCTCGCTACAGACTCCTCCAGAAATTCTCCAGGGTCTCCAAGATTTTTATTTCCTGCGCAGGACCATCACCTTACCAACACACATACACACAAACACAACCGCCACCATGGTGTCCCGCAACCCGACCAAGATCGGCAACAAGATCAAGCGCAAAGAACAACACGTCAAGACAAAACGCGCCAAGGAAAACACAAAGCGCGACGACAGACTCCGCCGCAGACGCACAGAAGACAAGAACCCTGCACTCAGAGAAGCGCGCCGAGCAAAGAACATCCCGCAAACCATCGACAGAAAGAGAACGTGGGATACCGCGGGCGATGGCGAGGAGAGCGACAAATTGGGACTAAGCGTGGATTTGAATGCCATCAAGAGAAGGAAGGTTGAAGATGATGATGACGAGGAAGAGCAAGAAGACGATGAGGAGGTAGAAGAGGAAAAGGATAGCNGACGCAGACTCGATGATCGACTTTGACGAGGAAGAAGACGACGAAGACGACGACGAAGACGCCAAAGCCGCAAAACAGCAAAAGAAAGACGAAGCCGCAGCAGCAAAAAGGCCACTCGCGCACCCTCGCCAACACCCTCGACAGCAGCAACAAACCTCTCCCTGACGCCCGAAGGCCTCGCCTCCAAATTCCCAGGTCTCTTCGAGCACAACGACAAAGACCCCAAGGTTCTAGTCACCACATCGATAAACAGTTTCCTGCACGAAGAAGCCTCCCTCCTCACCTCGCTATTCCCAAACTCGGTCTACATCAAACGCACAGCACACTTCCACGCCCACAAATACTCCGTCTCGGAGATTTCCTCCNTTGCCGCAAACAGAAACTACACCCACGTTGTCATTCTAAACGAAGATCAGAAGAAGCCCGCAGGTCTGGATATCGTGCATCTACCCCATGGCCCCATGTTCCACTTTAGCATCTCAAACTGGGTGGAAGGTGCCAAGCTCCCCGGCCACGGAAACCCAACTTCTCACGATCCAGAATTGATCCTGAACAATTTCCGCACACCGCTGGGTCTGTTGACGGCGCATCTGTTCCGCCAGATCTTCCCTCCGCAACCGCAGATTCAGGGAAGACAAGTCGTGACTCTACACAACCAGCGCGATTACATTTTCGTGAGGAGACACAGATACGTCTTCCGCGATAAGCGCGCGACCGAGAAGAGCATTGTTGGACCGGATGGAAAACTGGTCGAGGGAGTCGAGGATATCAGGGCTGGATTGCAAGAGCTGGGACCAAGATTTACACTCAAGTTGAGAAGAATCGACAAGGGTATTCAAAGAAGGAGCGGACAGGAATGGGAGTGGAAGGCTGGTGACGAAAAGGTCAGGACGAGATTTGCTTTGTAAGAAGCTTTTGCTTTATGCACCTTTTCGTTCCTGTTTATTTGCATCTGGATGGTGTTGGGCAGAGAGCAAAACGCATGTTGCATGGGAATATAGGTCTTCTATGTTGTTGCATTCTGAGCAGAGTGGGTATATGTAAAAGTCATCCTCCAGCGGACCAATTCTATGTAAAAAGACGATGGGCACTCCCATGTCAAGCTCCTAGATTCAAAATGCATCCTCATCCAACGCCAGTGACCAAAGCCCCCACGTTCCCTTCAAGCGGTCTGTGTAGCTCATTCTACCCCAAGACGTTCCTCTAGTTTGAGCTCAATCTTCCTGTCAAAACCAGATTCACAAATTTGATCAAGATGTTACACAGCAAGTAAGCCGAAAGCAGAGGCGCGAACAACTGCAATGGCTCCCAAGCGGACTTTGGCCTGACCTCGGTCTCGATGTATTTTGCATGCTTCTTCTCTTCCTCGGACTTCTCGACGGCGTCGACAGCAGCAGGGTCAGCAGGGAATCTCCCATGCTCGAGATAATACTCGATCAAGTCATCCTTCTCCCTCCAGCGCTCCAATAACCAATTCTCAGTCTCTTCCTTGGAGTGTAGGGGGATGTCGGCAATGGCGAAGCGGCGCCAGTGCATGTTCACGGACTTAGGGGCGCGACCTTGGAAGTAGACGGAACGTAGAGTGTAGAGTTGACCGCCATAGGAGCCGCGAGGGACACCTTCGTAGGCAATTGTGCAGTCGTAGAGCCAGTCCACACCGTTTTTCAGTTCTTCCAGGCAAAAGTGGAGACCGGTGCTGCGAGGTAGAAGCTGATGCTTCATGTCCGGGATGCCAGACTTTTGACTCCATCGCGCAGATGAATTGCGAGTGTTGGGGCTGAGGTTTGTGCCTTCGGGAAAGATGAGCAGCCATGCAGGATCCAAGCCACTCTTGTCCTTTCTTCCTAGGATAGGACCGGTGTGCCTTGTGGATAGCTTTTCCAAGCGATGCTTGAGACGCGGTTGATCCTTTGCCCATTTCCTGCTCATAAAGATGAAGTTGTAGAACATCATGCCGGGGCCGATCATGGGTATGTATTTCAAGCTCTCTTTCAAGATGATGTAGATGTGGCCGTGACATGCTGCGGTGTAGCTGACCCACCACAGGTAGGTCCAGTCGGTGTAGATTTGGTGGTTTGCAATCAGGACGAGGCGTTCGGGAAAGTCGCATTCGAGACGGCCATCGGGGAACTGTCTAAGCTGGCCGCTGACTGAGGCATCGCCGGAGATGCGGATGACGGTGGGAGCGAAGAGATAGGTGCCAGTGATGAGGACCAGGGCGAAGTATTGCTTGCAGACGGCCTGCCATGCGTAAAAGTAGTCCTTGTTGTAGAAGTAGAGAGGGGCACCGAGGAGTTGGGCCGAGTGGATGCCCAGAGCGGCGATGAAGAAGAAGACGGCAAAGAAGGCGATGCGGAAGTATTGCATAGGGCGGCCATGCTTGACGGGGCCGGCAGGGTGGTCCTCTTCCCTCAGCTTGTCATTATTGGAAGTAAGCTTGATCTCGGTGTCGGCGGCAGGGTCGGGTTTGGGCATAGGGCGTTGGCGGACACCCTCTGTGTTGGTGCGCGACATGTCTCTGGGTGCGACAGTGGCCTGTACGACTATGACACGCAGGGAGGCATTCAAGACGGAGGCAATAAGAATGAAACGTGGGTACTCGTAGGTAGGGTGGAACAAAGAGCGTCAGTGGAAGCAGCGTCACAGGAAGCTCGACAGCCCCACCATGCAACCGTCACGATGCGACTGCCTTTTCTGTGGCTTCGCACCATCTGACATGAACAAATGACACGGCCATGTCTGCGACTGCCTCTGTTGCGACACGTCGCCAGGAGATGCTTCTCGCACTCGCCTGTCCGCCGTGACCTCCGCGACATTGCTGCCTTGCCCGACCGCATCCGCCCTTCGTATCAAGGTACTTTTTGCTCACCACGCACGTGCTGGACCGTCATGACGCTGACCGAATCATCACAGNAGACCAAACACCAGGACCTCCTGTCGCTGCAATGGCCTCAGCCGCCTCGCAACATCCTGATCGTCCACAAAACTGGCTCCAACACCGTCTCTGAAGCCGTCCACGAATACGCCAACCATATCCACTCGACCTACCCTGGAGTCTCCCTCATCTTCGAGCCCAACGTCGCCAAAGCCTTGCACACCGACTTCTCTTTCCCCATCTACTCGACGACAGAAGAATCAAAAGATGCTCGTTTACAAGACAAGGTCGATCTGACCTCGACTCTCGGCGGCGACGGCACCATTCTCCACGCATCTTCTCTCTTCGCAAACGCTCAGAATGTCCCTCCCATCCTCTCCTTCAGCATGGGTACCCTAGGCTTCCTCGGCGAGTGGAACTTCTCCGACTACAAGCGCGCCCTTCGTGAGGTCTACATGTCAGGCGCCTCCGCAGGTTACGGCAGTGCCCTTCTGGAGACAGAGTCTGGTAAAGAGAAGGACGTCTTCTCAGGCTGGACTTCTGTCCGTGGCATGTCCATGGGTCCATCACGCTCCTCTCGCGTCCTTCTCAGAAACAGACTTAAAGTCGGCATCTTTGCCGCAGACGGCACTCCCATCACCCACGCCGACCCTTCGGCTCCCATGTGTTCTTCCGACTGCGAAGCCAACAACAACTGCGACGTCTTTGCCATGAACGAGGTCTTGCTCCACCGTGGCCGTACACCCCATCTCAGCATCATCAACATCTACGTTGGCGGCCGCTTCTTGACTGAAGCGGTAGCCGATGGCCTGTTGATAAGCACTCCCACGGGCTCGACAGCCTACTCCTTGTCCTCTGGCGGCAGCATCGTCCATCCTCTCGTCTCTTCCCTGCTGCTCACTCCCATCTGCCCTCGTAGTCTCTCTTTTCGCCCTCTGGTACTCCCTTCGAATACACCCATCACGTTACGTCTATCTCCCAAGAATCGTAGCGATGAGATAGAACTGTCTGTCGATGGAGTACGCAGAGAAAGAGGTTTGACGAGAGGTATGGAGGTCAGAGTCGTGGGAGAAGAAGTTAGAAGTGAGGAGAGGACTTGGGGTGGAGGTGGCGTGCCGTCTATTGTCAGGACTGGTGGAAACAATGGAGCTGAAGGCCATGACCACTGGGTTGGTGGCTTGAACGGTCTGCTCAAGTTCAACTTTCCTTTTGGCGAGGAATAGATCTCTGTTAATATAGGAAAGAGATACATCTGTAGAATTGCACATTTAGCCACTGAGTCAGCGCTGCTTTTGATTGTGATGATCCAGACATTACCCAGACATTGCCGTATTCGAAGCTCCGAGCACCGAAAGTGAGAAGTTCCCAAGTCGTACCTTCCATTGAGGGCCATCGGGAAATCATCTTAGGCAGCAAGGGTTCGAATTTCCCTTCCCTTCATTCTCCATCAACCGTCCCGGACGCTCTCGGTCCTTGACTCTTTTGCATCGCTTGACGCGCCCCCAGTGCAATCATTGGCTGTCAATAAAGTTGAGTGTCGATGAAGCTAGTCGGCATGGAAGGCTTTGCTCGACTAACCATCGTAACCTTCGTCTCCCGGAACATGTCTTTATTCTCGTCGGCAACATAACATGGATTGCGTTACGCACTACATGCGGTCTCGAGAAATCTGACCCGCAAGCCTTTCCCATGCCACTGTCCTCCGCACTGCGCGCAACCATCAGTGGCGGATTTGAGGCAACCAGAATTCATGCCTCCCAACATCTGCAAGCTCACCAGCTCAGGCACCAATCCACTCAGCGTTTGGTCAGCAGCTCTTGTCAAAACCCATCGACTCGCTCACGGCTGGGTCTAGTCTTTAGCACTCTCATCGCACACATATGCACATCTTGACCAGCAGCTGGCCAGGTATCTCTCGCTCGACAACAATTTCTCGAAATCAAAATATTAGTACTGTGTAACGACTGTCTACTATACAGCATAAAGGTCATTCCATCGGGAGGCGGACATTAACAACTTGACATACAGTACATCATCTCCATCAAGAAGGAACGTTTATAGACAAATAAAATCGGCAACCGAAAACAAAAGAAATCATGATCATAGATCATTCTCTCAGACATCAATCACATCTTCCTGGATCGAGACGTCCACGTCGGCCGAAGCTACAACAGACAACGTGTGTCTGCTCTGAGCCAGCCCATTGTCTCCACATCTCAGGGTGGAGCCACAGAAGTTGATCTCAGCCAGAGCATTGACGACAAGTGTATCCACGATCGACTCGACAGCTACATTCTCAGAAGAAACAACTCCATCATGGCAGGTCAGAGTGGCACCGCAGAACTCGATGACTTTGACTGTGTCGACGATAGTCGATGCGTTCACGCCTGCAGAGGGAGGAAGCAAGTTCAACCCTGTAGACGTGGTGGTCGCAGAGCCTCCAACCGTTGCCGTAGGACGGTAGGAAGTCTGGAAGCCTGAGGGTCCGCCAATGATGATAGGAGTCGTGGTGGGCTGAGCAGGATTCAAGTATGCACCCACGATACCGGCAACAGAGCTCTGTGCAGGCAAGTTGAACGAAGCAGCAGAGTTGATATCGACAGCAAGCGATGAGATTGCGCTTGCGACCCTAGAAGCACCAAGGCTACTGGCTTGAGCACCGACAGACGACGCTCCTGAGAGAATAGGAGCCCAGAGTGAGGATTGTGCACTAACGAGCGCAGATTGAGCTCTAGCGCTTGCTTGAGCAGGGCTTACTGTCACGCTAGCCATTGCGGTCGAGAGAGCAGCCTGTTGAGCACCGACCAAACCACCAACGGCACCTGTAGCGCCAACAAGTAGATTAGAGACCGCAGTTGACAAGACTGGGTCAATAGTCGCGCTTGCACCCACGGCAGCAAGAGCACTCGAGACAGCCAAAGCATCTGACGTTACAGCTACACTGGCAGGTCTAGCACCACTGGACAGCAGAGAGGCAACCAGGGATCCGACAGAAGTACTGGCCTTGTAGCTTGCAGCACTGGACAACGCCGATGACGCTTGGCCATAGATTGAGGAGATGGCCGATTGAATGGCAGGATTGTTGGTCGCCTGGGGGCCAGCGGCGGATACTTGAGACAAGAGGGAAGCGAGAGCTGGCTGTACAGAAGCAGGAACGTATGCTGACAACGAAGATAGCGATTGCAAAGCAGGACCGACGGCAACAGAACCACCAACCGCACCACTGATCGAACCACCAACGACAGGTGCGGAAGTAATGCCGGCAAAGATCGAGGATACTGCTGCCGAGATCTCAGGCTCGAGAGTGGCCGATGGGTTGACCGAGACTCTGGATAAGAGCGAGGAAATTGGAGATCTGAGCGAGGCTGGCAAGTGAGAAATTTGAGCGGACAAGGAAGAAAGAGCTGGGCCGGCATTGATTGCACTTGGGGCAGGAGTCACGCCAGCGACTATCGATGCAACTGCTGAGGACACACTAGCGTCAAGGGTTTCCGAGGGCGATGCCGAGACACGAGATAGGAGAGACGAGATGATGGGCTGAATAGTTGTGGGCAATTGAGGGAGTCTAGACGCCAAAGACGAGAGGACCGGTCCGATTGGGACCACGTTTCCAGTAGGAACACTGTTTCCTGCCACGATAGACGAGATTGCTGACGATACTCTAGGATCACGAATAGCGGTAGGTGTGGCGGAGACTTGAGACAGCAATGAGCTCACGACAGGGCGAATCGAAGCTGGCAGCTGAGGGAGCTGCGAGGCCAACGACGTGAGAGCTGGGCCAACTTGGACCGATCTCGAGGTAGGGACACTAACGCCGGCCACAATTGACGAGATCGCAGAAGGAATGCTCGGATCCAGAGTGGCAGACGGTGATGCGGAGATCTGGGACAAAAGTGAGGATACTGCCGGACGGATTGAAGATGGCAATTGCGAGATCTGGGATGCTAACGACGACAAGGCTGGGCCGACCACGACATTTCCACCTGTTGGGGCTCTCGAAGGAACAAGAGCGGCGAGGGAGGATACTGCCGAGGAAATTCTAGGGTCAAGCGTCGCACTCGGCGTTGCAGAAATTTGCGAGAGCAAAGAACTGATAATTGGACGAGCAGATGAAGGTAGTTGCGAGACCTGAGCTGTCAAAGAAGATAGCGCTTGACCGACAGGAACATTTCCACCAGCGGACGCGCTGACACTCACGGCAGGCGAAGCGGCAGATAGCAATGAGCTTATGGCCAGTGATATGCTAGGGTCCAAAGTAGGCGATGGACCGGCAGCGGAAACTTGGCTCAAAAGTGAGGAAACGGACGTTCGCAAGGAGCCAGGCAGTTGAGATGCTCGAGATGCAACAGAGGAGAGGGCGAGGCCAGGTCCGATATTCGTCGAAATTGGGTTACGTGTATTACCAACAGCGCCAGCAAGCGACGTAGCGGCCGCTGAAACGCTGGCTGGGACGGTACCCGACGGTCCAGCTGCCGAGACCTGTGAAAGAAGTGAAGACAATACGGGCTGGTAAGAGACTGGGAGTAGTGATGCTTGAGATCTGATTGATGATAGGATCGCACCCGCACCAGCAGCATTGCCGCCCACAGTAGGAGCACGCGAAGTCGCCGCACCAGCGCTGGCAAACAACGACGAAATTGCCGAAGAAATACTGGGTGCAAGTGTACCGGAGGGGCCCACGACAGAAACTTGAGAGACGAGAGATGAAATCTCGGATTGCAATGAGCTGGGCAGATTTGAAGCTCCCGAAGCCAACGACGAGAGAATTGAACCAAGTGCAGCGGCGCCGCTCGTAGGCACTGCCGAAGTGATTGGCAAGTTTGACACTTGTGAGATCAATGAGCTGAGCGCTGGTTGCGCAGAAGATGGTAACTCGCTGATCTGAGACACAAGAGACGTCAGCGCGGATTGCACGACAGGAGCCGTAGGTCCGACTGCCGACACTTGCGACAGAAGTGACGATAGGGCTGGTTGGAGGGAACTCGGCAATTGAGTGGTTAACGCTGGGTTGATGTTCACAGCTCCGAGGGTAGGTACCGCAGAAGTAAGTGGAGCCAATTCAGAGATCCCAGACACCAATGAGGACAGAGCTAATTGAGCCGAAGAGGGCAATTGTGTAACTTGCGATGCCAAAGACGACAAGGCTGGTTGCACACCTGATGCTTCAGGTCCTGAAGCCGAAATTTGCGACAGCAGAGAGGATACAGCGGGCAAAATAGAGCTTGGGAGGCCCGAAGTCAAGGCTGGATCCACGACGACAGCGCCAAGGGCGGGTGCTGTGGATGTGATCGGTGCCAGTCCTGAGAGTTGAGAGACAAGAGACGAAAGTCCTAATTGTGCGCTTGTGGGAAGTTCAGTGACCTGAGAAGCTAACGACGAGATTGCAGACTCGATACCACTCGCAGTGGGCCCAGAAGCCGAGATCTGCGAGATCAGGCTCGAGACGTCAGGTCGAATAGTCGCAGGAAGTGCTGTGACCTGTGAGCCCAAAGAGGTAAGAATGGCTCCAATCTCAACATCAGGGGTGGTTGAAGGCACTGATGAGCTAATGAGACTTGATACCTGTGCGATAATGGACGACAGAATCGGTTGTTCAGAGATTGGTACTTCTGTAGCCTGAGAAGCCAAGGATGACAGAGCGACATCAACACCACTTGCAGCGGGCCCAGATGCGCTGATTTGAGAGATCAACGAGGACAGATCAGGTTGAAGTGATTGAGGAGCTCCTGTGGCTTCGGCTGCTAAAGAGGTGAGAATGGGACTAATCTCAGCCGACGAAGTGATTTGGGCAGCGGAGCTAATCAGTCCAGATGCCTGACTCAAGATTGTTGATAGAACGGGTTGGTAAGTCTCGGGGATTTGAGTGATCTGAGATTCCAACGAAGACAAAGCAGGATTCAAGCCTGTCGCAAGAGGGCCAGAGACCGAGATATCAGAAATCAAGGAGCTAATCGCAGGCTGGAGTGAAGTCGGAAGTGCAAGCGCTTGTGAAGCCAACGAGGTCAAAACCGGAGCAAGGTTCACATTGACGCCAACGTTAGCGGTGGCTGACGCGGCGATACCGGATGCTTGAGACAAAATTCCACTCAAGATGGGTTGCGCTGATACTGGCAGTTCAGTGACTTGAGCATCTAGCGAGGACAAGGCAGAATCAATGCCAGTAGCCAATGGATCCGCGACGGCAGTCAACAAGGACGAAATTGCCGGCTGTATAGATTCTGGT